TGGATAAAACAGAAATTCTATTTTTACTTTTTTGAGCAACCCCTATACACATTTCCATAGATGTTAAACTACAATGACATTCCCACCAACATGAGACAGTGCCTTCTAGTACTGTATTTTGGAACATAAATAGACTAAATGCTTTTGAGGATTGTTTGAAAACAGATATTATCAAAACAGGAGCATTGATTTAGATTTTGAATAATTCCTCAATGTTACCAATGTTGCAAATACTGAATGCATATACCACATTGAAATACATATGGCATTACTTTCACAATTTGTCTGATTAAAAAAAGCAGTCTTTTGAAAATAGACATATGTAATTAGATGTGTTGCACTTGACTCTCAAACAGAAATTTATATATATATAAATTTCATCCATACCTACAAACAGTTTAATGTAAGAGTTTTATAATCTTGAGCATGAAAAATAATGTCTATTAGTATGGACTAGATGTCACTTGTGGCATAAGTTCAATACTCCCTACATTTCAAATATTGACATATTTCAAATATTCAATTGCCATATTCTAGATACTAAACATGTATTCATCTCTGGAGAAATTTTGTGCAATGATAGAAATTTGAATGCGGCCTCATTTTGTTTTCTTGAGTCTCCCTACATTGTTCAGGCAAGTCTCAAACTCACTATGTAGCACAGGCTCTCCTCAAACTCCTACCAATCCTCCTGCCTCAGTTGTCTAAGTGCTGGGATTACAGGCACATGTCACCATGTCTGGCTTTCTGTATATTTTTTGAACATGGCTTCATTTGTGTAGTTTGCTTGGTTTTAATATTTCTGATCTTGGAGGAATATTCTTATTAGTGTATATTACCTTAGAGTTTTCCTGTAGTTTTGGTACTCATCTTCAATTTGCTGCTGGTTTTCCCAGTTTCTTCCTAAAGTGTAGAAAAAGAAATGTAATGATGAGTTACTACATTACATACAAATTATTATCTTCCAATTAGATTCATGGTACAATGTGACCACGCCTGGAAGATTTATCAAATATACTTCCATATTCCAGTAAAGTAAACGGCACTGAAGAGCAATAACCTATGCTCCTGGATTGCATAAATCTATCTTCCTTACCTATAGCAGTCACATTCGTAAAGTTTTCCCACATCACATCTCTGTGGAGCTTCTTCTGGGATGGATCCAGGAAAGCCCACTCCTCCATGGTGAAGTCCACAGCCACATCCTCAAAGGTCACTGCCTCCTAAATCAGCAGAAATATATTCCCAGGAAGAAGAGTGAGACTCACAACACAAAATATCTCAAATCTACTCATAAAAAGCTGAAATCGGGCCGGGGATTTAGCTCAGTGGTTCTGGCGCCTGCCTTGCAAGCACAAGGTCCCGAGTTCAATCCCCAGTACCAGAAAGACAGACAGAAAGAAAGAAAGAAAGAAAGAAAGAAAGAAAGAAAGAAAGAAAGAAAGAAAGAAAGAAAGAAAGAAAAAATCTGAAATGAGACTGAGTCCCAGAAACGTTTGCTTCATCTTTTGGTCATCAAACACATTCTTCATCCACATGCACTTGCCACACAGGAATTTTGATTCTAGGTGGGAATTCACTGCTAAAGAAAGAGCAGAATGGGAATACTGGTTTTCCTGCTGGTTGGCCCCAGTTTTATTTCTACACTGTCTGTAAAGCATGGTTCATGGAGAGAGCCTACTAGATCAAACGTGGGATAAAAATAACTGTGGTAGATGAATATTTAATGACTTTATCTGACAGAACATTGAAAATACATCTATTTTCAAATTATTATTTAAGAAATAGATCCCTTCCTCCTGATTGCATTTAGACAGCATTGTGAAACTTGAAACTAGTTTCATAGATAAAGTTGTAATTAAACACAAAGTAATATTCATGAATGGAAATTTAAAATGCTAATGAAAAGTAGTACAGTATTCATTAGAGAATACTACCAATAAAATTAGATTAAGAAAGATATATTATCTTATAGCTCATGAAATGCTTACCTGTCACAAAGATATAAAAATTTCTGAGGTGTAAGAGAATGGGAAATGGGATGAACCAACCAACTGAATGTCATACCCCTAGCCACAGGCTTCATCTATGTACCCAGCCCAAGAAAGATGATGAGATGCACCCTGGCTCATATGGCCAGCCCAGGGAGTTTGGGGAGAATAGTCATTGGAAAATGAGGACAAATGGTAAATGGAGGACAAATCATACTCAAAGAGACCACAATAAAAGTGAGGAAAAGACTACCCAACAGCTAATAAACAACAATTAAAAGACCAACTTAAGGCTAATGGAGTTACTGAAACACTAGAAGACAAAATAGATGGAATTAGGAATGTTTACAAAAATCATAGTAGAAAAATCCCCAAAGATGAGAAGAGTTAAAAATAGAAGTGAGGCTTAAAGAACACCAAAAATCTATGACAAGTAAAGAAGTTCACAAGGCATATCCTCATTCTACTGTCAGATATCCAAAACCCACAATAACAAAAATTTAAAGCAGAAAAAAAAATCACCTATAAATGGTAAACTAGTTAGAATTACAACAGACTTCTTAACACAAAACTTAAAGGGCAAAAGAACTTAGAATGATGTATTTAAACCCTAAGGTGAGTAACTTCCAATCTAGTTTAACTTACTCAGCAGTCTTTCAAAATAGATGGAGAAATGAGGACATTTCAAGAAAAAAAACAGCTCAAAACAAATGAACATTAAATCAGCACTTCAGAAAGTACTCAAGAATAACCTAGACAGAAACACTGAAGCCCATACATGTATTCCTCCTTTAATGACCAATGTGTTTTAATGACTGTTTGGACTACAAATGAGGCATGTTATTTCCTCCTCTCAGACTTATGACCCATTTTCTTTTTTGTACAGTTCTGCACATACTGATAGAGCTTCAATGTCCTTTTCTGTACAGTATACTTTGTTTATACAATACTCTAATTTTTGCTGACTGAACTGTACAGTACTCTAGTTTTAGGTTCTGTTATATATTGCAGTGCTGCATGTAAGAGTTATGCAAATAAAAGCAAAGTCACCAAGTTGGAGTTTCCTTTGACCATTTCTTTGTCCTGAATATTGTAAAGTACATACTGTATACAATTCCTCCTTTAGCATCCCATTCATTTAGTGACCTAATCACAGGAACAGGACTCATCATTAAATGAAGAATGCACATACTTTATTGTACTTTAGGGACATTCACTAACCACATTTCGCAAAGAAGCACAGTGTTCATGAGAAGACAAATATCTTCAAACTATGTATTATTTCTATAATGTCTAATACTTGGGACAAATAAGCTACTTTATATATTTTGGATATTGAGATGAAAAAAGCCACCTCAAAAATATGTGGTTTCTCTGTTTTGATGCAGAAGGCAGTGATTTGGAGCATGGTTTTGAGACCCATTGATTGCATACAATATAAGCAGAACAGCTGTAACAAAGGCCCAGAAACATTTATCAGTGCACTCTTTATTGGGCTCATGTCTAAGGATTATTTACTTCCAACAGTTCCTTGGGGGATAATAAAGATGATTCATTAGAGTTAAATTTTCAGATATAAACAAACTTGTAGAAGTGATTTTACCTTTGAAACTTTTTGGTATGTAGAAATGTCTCATATCTTACGGGTGAACATATTTTCTCAGAGGTTATACATACACTTCCAAACCATAGGAAACAATTGAAAAATTAAGTATCACTGCTATTCTTGGCACTCTGATGGTTTTATGTGTTTAATTTTTACCTTATGTGCCAAGCTAGTAAGCTTCTCTACTTCTTTATATGTCTTTCTATACTCTGAGGTGTTTACTGCAGAGGTGGACAGGGCAGTGGCTTTATTAATGCCAGTTTCACTGTCAAGGATATTTGCCATTTGCAGTGAGATTTACAGAGAGAATCAAGTTCATGGTTTTATGATATCTTGTTAGCAATATTTTAGTTTCATTGGCTCCTTGTAATGACCTGCAAAAGCTCCATTATTAATGAGCCAAATTGCATTTTAACATACAGCTTCTAGCAGTATCAACCGTGATCAACATAATTTGAAGAATTCATGGAAAGGGCATGTGAGGAAATATAGGATTAGGTGTTTTGATTTGTTAAAGATCATATCTGTATTGCATCTGTTTTGCAATCATGATTATTGATAAGCACTTTCTATATCATTGCTATATGTAAGATACCCTGGGTTTTCTGAATACTTTGTATTACTGCTTTTTCTGACATGTATGGGTTCAATAGTGCCTGAACCCAGCTAATGTGGTGATTTGCTCATCATTGCTCTATTGTATTTTAAAGGTTATTGGAGAATGTGTGCTCTTAAGAAGAACAAATAATTTTCATTGAACTAATTTGATAATATGATGTCTAATACATTACACATTTAACAAGCTACCTGTTTAATGACTGCTCAGACTTATGAGAGACACAGTTAAGACTTACAATCCATTGCTCAGACTTATGTATGATTTTTTTTCTTATTGAACGGTACTGTATATCTTGTTGGTGGAGCCTCAATGTGTATTTTCTACAGTATACCTTCTTTAATGAAGCACTGTGATTTTTGTTGATTGTGCTATATAGTACAGTACTGTAGCTTTATGTTCTGTTATACATTACAGTCCTGCATGTAAGAGTTATGGAAATAAAAGCAAAGTCACCAAGTTGGAGTTTCCTTTGAGCATATCTCTGTTCTGAATATTGTAAGGTATATACTCTATACAATTCCTCATGTAGTGACCAGTTTATTTAATGAACTACTCACAGGACCAAAATAACCAGTGTCTATATAGCTAAAAGCCCAGATGAAATGAAAACAAGCAAGGTCAACTTGTAAACAACAAAAATACCAGGAAAACAAAAACAAGAGTCACCAACAGAAAGAATGCAGTGATAGTAATCAATGAACACATCTCAGTAATATTTTTCAATATTAATGGCCTCAGGTCTCCAATTAAAAGACACAGATTAGCAGTTGCACCAAAAACAGAATCCAGTAGTATGTTGCATTTTAAAAAAATCATTTGAGGCAAAACAGTATGTATAGACTAAAAAGAATGCAAAATAGTATTTCATGTATTACTTGCCCTAAAACAAGGAGAGGAAGCAATTTTAATTTCAAATAATGTGAACTCAAAGCTAAAGCTGATTAGAAGAGATAAAGGTCATTACGTACTAGTTAACTGAACAATCCAACAAGAACAATGTTTATAAATACTTATTTATTGAATACTGGAGCACTTATTTTCATAAAACATAATGCTGAACATAAAAGATCAAATAAATACACAATCATAAAGAGATTTCAGAGATGAACCACACCCTTGGACATATGAAATTACTTAATAGATATTTACAATGCCACTAAAGCAGAGCAGACATTGTCTTCTGCAGCACATGGTACTTCTTCCAAATTAGATCACACACTAATCCACAAAGCCTTCTCAAATAAATAAAAGAATCAAAATCAGCCCATGTGTAGGAAAATACAAATCAATGACAGAAGTAATCACAGAAAAAAGTAGAACTTGGAAAATTAATCACACACTCCTAAACAACCAATGGGTCCTATAAGAAATCAAGGTACAATATGAACATTTCTAGAAGTTAATGTCAATGCTTGTATAAATCACTGTAAACTTTGGGCCACTATGAAACAGTCCAGAGAGAGAAGTTCCCTGCAATCCATGCTCACATTAGGAAAACAGAGCAAGTTCAAATACATAACTTTATGAGAAATATTAAGATACCTGAGAAAAAACAATCCAGACCAACAGCAAAATTAGGGAGGGAAATTATGATTAAAGCAGAAATCAATGAAATTAGGACTAAAAATATGCAACATAACACAACTTAAAGAACTAGTTCTTAGACTAAACAAAATAAATAAGGCCTTAGCCAGACATGTTTTTTTTCCTTTGGTACTGGGGATCAAAGTCAGAAACTTGCACTTGTGTGGCAGGCGCCGGAACCACTGAGCTAAGTCCCGGCCCGCTTAGCTAGACTTACCAAGAGAAAAGACTCACATCAATGCAAATAGAAGTGGAAAAAGAGAAATCAGAACAGATGCTATTGAAATCAAGAAGAAACTACTCTGAAAAATATTTCAATATACTGACAAATTTTAAAGAAATGGACAGATTCCTCAATTCATACAAATTACCAAAGCTAACTAAATAAGACACAAAAAATGCTGAGCAATAACAACCAAAGGG